CTAAGCTTCCCGCGGCTGCCAAATCTGATAACTCCTCTAGTTGGGGATATCTACAAGAAATCATGCTCTCCAACCTGAAACTATAGAGGTCTCCTCTTAGCATCAACCCAGCTCTTCTGTCTATCCTGAACTGATTTAAGGCGCTCCCGTATTGTATTTATCTTATCTACTGTCTGCACTATCATCTCAAGACCTAGCAAACGCCACTCTCCCAAGTCATCCCAACAGGTAGGAGATCTATATTTTCTCCCATATAAAGCCTCATATGGTGCGATCTGAATGCTAGCCTGATAACTGTTATTATATGAAAACTCCACCAAGTGTAAGTAGTCTTCCCAAGAGCCCTTGAAATCTAGCATGCATGCCTGCAACATGTCCTCCAGAATCTATATACTCCTCTTTGACTGTCCATCTGTCTGAGGATGGTAAGCCGTGCTGTAACTCAGTCTAGTCCCAAGACACTACTGCAAGCTCCTCCAAAAGTGTGATAAAAATCGTGTGTCTCTATCAGAAACAATTCTAACAAGTACCCCATGCAAACGTACTATGTCCCTCATGTACAGCTCCGCTAAACTCTCTATCGTTTGTCCAACTTGAAATGGTATGAAGCGAGCTGACTTGGTGAGTCGGTCTACTACTATCCATACGACGTTATTTCCCTTCTGGCTCCTCGGTGGAGCTGTGACAAAATCTATTGTAACATGTTCCCATTTCCACTTGGGAATATGAAAGGGCTGTAATAACCCGACTGTCCTCTGATGTTCAGCCTTCACCTACTGACATGTTAGGCATTTTGACACAAATCAGGCTATCTCCATCTTCATTCCTGGCCACCAGTAATGTTCTCACAGGTCCCGATATATCTTTGTGGCTCCTGGATGAATAGAAAGCACTGAACTGTGCGCCTCCTCTAACAACTCTCTTCTAACCTCGCCCTTAGGCACACACAACCTACTACAGAATCGCAAGGATCCATCCTCATGCATCTGTAGATCAGTTCTCTCTCCAGACTCCACTTGTTTCTTGAATTTTTGGTACCGAGCATCCTCGAACTGGGTAGCCTTGATCCGGTCCACCAGAGTTGAATGTAAATGCAAACTCATCAATTGTCTCCCTGCTCCAGGCAATGTAATCTCCATGTTCATCCTCCAGAACTCAGCTAGCAACTCCCGCTGTCTGGTGAGTCTCATCGCCACAGGCTTCCTGCTCAAATGATTTGGCACTATATTAACTCGTCATGGATGATATTATAAATCAAGATCATAATCTGCCATAAGCTCTAACCATCTGCGTTGTCTCATGTTGAGCTCCTTCTGAGTGAAGATATACTTCAAGCTTTTGTGATCTGTGTACACCTCCACTCTCTGCCCTAAAAGATAGTGCCGACATAGCTTCAATGCAAAAATAATCGCCACCAATTCCAGATTATGAACTGGGTAATTCCTCTCATGCGTCTTTAGCTGTCTAGATGCATAAGCTACTACATTTCCATGTTGCATCAAAACACAACCTAAACCCAAACCAGAAGCATCTGTATGTACTACAAATCCTTCTAACTCATCTGGGATTGTCAAAACAGGTGCTGACGTCAACTTCTCCTTTAACTCCTCAAATGTTGTTTGACACTCTGGAGTCCACACAAACTTGACCTCCTTCCGAGTCAGCCTAGTAAGTGGTCTTGCAATTTTAGCAAAATCCTTTATAAATTTCCTATAGTATTCAGCCATCCCTAAGAAACTTTGCACTTCTGTCACAGATGTAGGCGGATCTAATCTCAACACCGCATCAACCTTCTTCGGATCCACAGAGATACATGCTCCTGAAATCACATGCCCCAAGAATGACACTTGCTCCAGCCAAAACTCACACTTGTTCAATTTTCCATAAAGCTTCTCCTTCCATAGGATTTCTAACACCGTCCTTAGATGCTCTGCATGATCTTCCTTGGTCTTGGAGTATACAAGAATGTCATCAATGAACGCCAACACAAACTGGTCAAGATACTAGGAAAACACCTTGTTCATCAAGATCATAAATGTAGATGGAGCATTTGTCACTCCGAACGGCATCACCAAAAACTCATAGTGCCCGTACCGTGTGCGGAATGCGGTCTTGGGTATGTCTTCCTTCTTCACCTTCAACTGATGATAACCTGACCTGAGGTCTAGCTTAGAAAACACCCGAGATTCTCCAAGCTGATCAAAAAGGTCATCAATCCTGGGATTAGGTATTTATTTTTGATGGTAACCCGATTCAATTCCCGGTAGTCAATACACATTCTCCGGCTACCATCCGGCTTTGGCACGAACACCACTGGTGCTCCCCAAGGTGAAGTACTAAGCTTGATAAATTTCTTATCAAGATACTCCTAGACTTGCTTCTGTAGCTCCTCTCAATCTGCTAACAGCATTCGTTAAGGTGGTTTTGAAATAGGTGCAACTCCTGAAATAATATCGATGATGAACTCTATATCTGGATCTGGTGGCAAACCCGACAACTCATCAGGAAAATGTCAAGGAACTCCTCAACAATTTCTGGTATAGGCTTCTCCTCTACCTCTATATAGGTTAATACTCCATCCATGTTTGCTCGATACTCTGGCTGCTCCATCACTTTTCTACCGCTCATGAATTCAAACTCTGGGTGGCCTGGTATCTTGAACACTACGCTTCTACGTCGACAGTCGATCGTCGCATGGAAGGTGTAGAGCCAATCCATCCCCAAAATAACATCGAACCCATTAGTGTCAATCACTAACAAGTCTGCAAATAACTCCCTACCACAAACTACCACTGGGCATCTCTTACACTCCCTACTAGACATTAACACCCCGCTACCGGTCTGGGCATCTCTTACACTCCCTACTAGACATTAACACCCCGCTACCGGTATGGATATTCCAGCTTGCCTTTAAACTATCACATGGTATGGTGTGTCGACATTAACACCCCGCTACCGGTATGGATATTCCAGCTTGCCTTTAAACTATCACATGGTATGGTGTGTCATGCAATGAACTGAGGAGATATAAAACAGTGCGATGCCCCAGAATCAAATAGGGTAAATGCATGGACTGAATAAACCAAAATGATACCTGTGACTATGTCTCCAGATGCATTTGCCTGCTCAGCAGTAAGTGTCATAACCTAACCTTGTGTTTGCTGCTGCTGAGCTTGCTGACCGTATTGCCCTGGGTGCCTCTACTGATAAGGTGGCTGATATGGGTGCTAGAAATGAGGACCTCTCCATTGTCTCTGGCCTTGAAATTGTTAACCCCTCTGATGTCCCCGGAACATCTACTGCTGAGTGGGAAGTGGTGGCCTTAATTGTTGTCCACCCTATCTAGTCTGGCCTGCTAGCACTATCACTCTACCTGAAGTTCCTCCTGAAACTCCCCTACTAGGACAAGTGGTGATCTGATGATTGGCTACCCCACAGGCTAAGCACAACCCGTTAGCTCGCATACAGTCCTTCATCAAGTGCCTCGGCTTGTTGTAGAAATGGCAGATCATATTGGTTGGTTGTGGAGTTGGTCTCGAAACCCCTGTCTGCTGGCGCTTGGCTGGTGCTCCTCCCGTCTGAGGCTTCTGCTGGTTACCGCCCGAGGTCTGACCTGTAGGACGCTTGTTTGCCCCTCTCCTCACTGAGTTCATGATCCCAATCAGCTGTTCTGCCTTCCGAGCTGCCTCTAGGACATCTGCATAAGTCTCTATCCCCTTCTGACTATAAATCTAAGTCTAGATGTCAAAATTCAGACTCTGCATGAACCTCTGTCCCTTATCCACCTCATTTGATACCATCCTCGAGGCAAATCTACTGAGCTTGGCAAATTCTGCTGCATACTCATCTACTATACTAGCTCTCTGCCTCAGCATAACAAACTACCTCTGCATCTCAAGACGAGCTATCTTCGGAAAAAATGCCTCTAGGAAACTCTCCCAGAATGTCTCCCATGAAATCGGGCTAGGCAGCTTCTCCTCCTCTGCGTCCCACCAGGTCCTGGCTACATTAACGAGCTGCAACTGCACAATATCCACTCGGTCTTCATCTGGTATCTTGGTTGCCCTCAATAGGCGGTCCGTGGTCTACAACCACATCTCGGCCTCATATCCGCCTTTAGTTCCAGCAAAGTGTTGCGGGTTGAGTTTTCGAAAATCGGACACATTGCCCGGCCTTGCAACCTGCCGCTACTTATATCTCTAACGATTATGAGCTACCAGGTCCCTAATTGCTTCTGCAATATCAGCCTGGTTAACTTGGTGTCCCTCAGGAACAACTGGAGTAGGGGCTCGACGGGTTAGGGCCATAGCGATCACCTGAAAAGGAGAGGGGTCGAGATTAGGACTTGAGAATCAGAGAAATGGGAGTCAAGGTTGTATTTCCGGAAAGGAAAAACTCATTCCTACTAGAAACGGGACTTTTAGCGATGGACAAATTCGTCGCTAAAAGTCAAAAATCTGTCGCTAAAACTTTTAGCGATGAAAAAAATAAAATTCCGTCGCCAAAATACCGTCAGTACATTGAGGGTAGGTAATCACTTTTAGCAACAGAATTTTATTTTCCGTCGTTCTATTTTTTCAAAAAAAAAGAAAAAAATTAAAAAATCCGTCGCTAAAAGGTTCTATAGCGACGGAAAGTCCGTGGCTAAATATTTCTAATATTTTTTTAAAAAATATTTGAAAAATTAAAAAAACATGTACAATAATATAATAAATTTAAAACCTTATTCAATCAGCAGTATAATATTCATTCCCACGCATATATAACATATATATTTTAATAAAAATATCCTAAGATAATTAAAATTGTTTATACAACACACACCATAATAAATATTGTTTATACATCACACACTCATTGTTTTCAAAGGGAAAAAACAAATCAGTCCTCCTGATCATCATCATCATCATCCTCATCACCAGCTCCACCTTGTCTAGAAGTTCAGGCCCACAAATATAAATCAAACGTTAACAACATGGCATAACATGCAAGTATAATAATAAGAGAGTATCATGACATATTCTTATGTATTATATGTTTCGAAGAGAGTATCATGGCATATTCTTATGTATTATACGTACGCACATATTTTAATATAACAGCAACAAATAGATGCACATTTATCCATAGAACTAAAGAGAGACAGAAACAATGAGATGATGGCTCAGATCTCTCTGTTATCACAAATAACTACAAGCCCAATATATATTGCACATGCACGAGATCCATTTCAATCCCGCATCGATAAAAAGGTTCACAGCTTTGACATAGCAACACCCATTGCATCTACAAAGAAATCTGCATTAATCAAATTAATCATGTCAAGGGAGAAATAATCAAACTTAATACAGATAGAGAACGGAATGAAAACGGGGTTACGATTACTCACCAGAATCAGCCTTTGTGAAACAAAGAGGTGGTCTTATTCTGAAAACATTCCCAAAATGTTCGCCTTTTCCAACCAACACACCCATGTCTATGGACGATCAAAGATTAAAAAATATATATATCAGCTACTTTTCTTGATGTAGTTGATTATAAACAACATGAGGCATTTTCTATGGTAAAAACTATAAAAAAAATTGATGAATATCATATTACCTTTCATCTGCTCCATAACATGCAAGATTTCAACTTTTGTTGGAGTTTTCTTCTCGTGGTCATTAACCAGCTCAACTCCAAGCATCAGACCTCTTCCCCTCACATCACCGATAACTAAAAAATACATTCAAGAACCAAATGATCATTACATTATTCAAAGAAGCCCCTTGCAAAGCAGGATCTTAATAATTTGTTGGTAGATAATATTTCAAAGAGTGAACCAAAAGAAAAAGGTATAAAGGGGTCTTGTCGGTAAGACTGCATGTGCTTATATGTACTTGCATATGCTTACCCAGAGCACCACTTGTTTAATTCACAAAAAAATAACCTTGTTAACCCATGACATGTAAATTCCAGTTTTTAATTAAAAGGACAATACCGATATTTAATGGTAGTAATTTCAGACTTTCATGAATTTAAAATTTAGATAAAGACTTCCCTCTCCAGTAAAATCTTGTCATCATTTGGTATTTTGGCAATCTTAGAGGCATTAATTGAGTGAGACATTTGACGAGAAAGTGAAGTCTGTAATTAAGTAATTAAACTACAACCGTCATAGTTTCGCACAAGGAACGTTTCCGAAAAAATGAGTAACCAGGAGCATCTATGGCATATTCAACATGGATACAGAAAGCTGGACATAGAATGAAATATAGGAGCGAATAAAACAAAAAAGCACAATCACATGTAAGGGAAATGAAATTTTCATCATCACATCCGAGAAATCCCTACAATAGGATCCATGTAGGACCCTAGAGGGGGGGTGATTAGGGTCTTATGCTAATCTAATCCGATTAAATGCCAATTAAAAATAATTAACAACTATATTCTTGCAAGATAGGTATACAATCTATAATGGGCAAGAATATGCAATATACACAAAGTGATATATCCTATATGATGAAATATATATGAGTATATGAGCAAGGATATATAAACTCAAGGGTAAACAATCTAAACTAGATAGTGGATGATATAGATAATGAGCTAATGACAATGGCGATATAAGATATGAACATAAATATGAAAGAACGCCAAAGCACACTCAAACAAGCAATATGATCACGGAGTTCGGACCTTCCGTCCTACGTCTCCGCTCCCCACTCCCGGGGAGAAATCCACTATCACAACCGGGTTTTCTACGCTCACCCGAATAACGTTTACACCTCACAGTGTCGGTTTTCAACGCTCACCGATCAACGTTCACACTCACCCTCACAATGTCGGTTTTCAACGTTCACCGATCAACGTCCACTCCTCACACTCGGTTTTCTAGTTCACCGAAAACTTCACAACACACTCGGTTTCTAGCTCACCGAAAACCTTACAACACTCACAAAGTAAATACAACAAATTTGTTCTCTACAATAGATGAGAACACAATGTAGCACAACTCAAGGTTACAATCTCTCACCACCCAACTATACTATGCAATGAAAGATACAATAAGCTCAATGTGGGTGTGTGTGTAACAATGAGTAAATAAGATCAAATCAACTAAACTCAAGTATGAAATCTAGCTTAAGAACAATGATAATCAATCAAGTATATAAATGTAAAGCTAGAGTTTGAGTTTAGAAAACTTCTCAATTTGATAACAAGAGATGGAGGGATGATAGTTGGAAGCTCAAACTTCAATAGATAATCTCCTCAAGCTCTTGTGGAATTTGATTCACCAAAACAAACTCTCAATTTGCTTAAAAGCTTTTTAAACACACTTAAACCAAACTAAAACCCTTGTTAAAAACTTTATTAAACTTGATTAAAAACTCTCTTGGTTAAAATTGAAAAGAAACTTTTGACCTCAGGTTCGGTCGACCGGTGCGGTCGACCGAAAACGGATATGACAAAAAACTAAAAACAGTTTTTTCTGATTTTAAAACGCTGTTTAAAAATATCAAATAAATTCCAAAAAATGTAAAACTTTGGGGAATGATTGTAGACATGATAATAAACATGCTACAACGACTGGTTTTGAAAAAGGACTTCCTAACTGAAAACTATCATCATTTTTCAAATATGTTCAAAAACATGAAAACCTGAAAATTGATATTTTGATATTTTGACTTAGACAACATTTTGAAACCTTATGAAATGATTGTATAGACTTGATAAAAGATATAAACTATTGTTATGAAGTCTATAACCTAGAAATACAATATTTTCATAAAATTGCATATTCTATGCAATATATACAAAAACACTAAATATGATTTTATTAAATATAAGCTTGTTAAAGGTGAAATCATATATAGGCATATAAACATGAAACAAAATAGTATTTTCCAATTCTATTCATTTGTTTCATATATAAACTTGAAAATTATTAAACCAAAAACATATATGTATATATATAACTGTATATATACAAAACCAAAGCCAAAGCGTGTATGTGTGTATATGATTGAGCTTAAAGTACTAACACACATAATATAAATTCCTAAACTAAATTACCCAAGCAGTGATCTTGATCTTCAATAAGCTTGACTTGGTAATCTCGCGGATGAAGCTTGAACTTGGATCTTGAACTTTGAATTTGCAAGGCTTCACCGACATTCCGCCAACCTCCTTTGGATATCATCGTTGAAGCGCTATTCCATCCATCCTCCAACTACGTTGTTTGTCTACAATAAATACTAAAACACAAATACTAGACAAACAACATTAGTGGTAAATTGTTTGTTAAACATCATCAAAACAAGAAGGCCAACAATCCAGCCATAGAGTAAAGGGTTTTCCAGCCATAGAGTAAATGAAATTTAACTTATATTTAACTTTTCAAATTTTAATAATTGGTTAACTAGCACTAAATGTATGATAAAAGAAGAGGTCAATGTCAATAATTGCGTTCATAGTCGACTCTTAATTGAATGTAATGAGGTAACAACTATCAGGAGAATAAAGTAGCATGGTGGAACTAAAAAACCAAAAGAAACTTAGCTATGAACAACCAATAAGATAATAAGTTCAATTATAAACTCATGCCTGAAGATGTCGCTTAAAGAGTAATATGGCAACTAAATCAGAGTTATTGTATTACAAACCAAAGAAACTTAATTGTGAATAGCTTAAAGGTATGATATTAGTAAGGAGAAGGAAGCAGATTGCTACTACATACATGAGAATTGAATTTGAAGAGGAAATTTAGGATTGAACAAAGGTTCATATTTTCAAACAAAATTAAGATCACTCCAACATTACCTCATATATGCAATCCCCAACATATGCTAGAGATGTTGCATTGTAAATAGATCGAGGTTTTTTTACTTTAGGTGCAACCAGTAGCCACCTCTCATAACCTAGGTACTGCTCGTCCAATTTTTCTATTTGAAAAAGATATATTAGGATCAAATCGACATGGAAAAAATTTCCTAGCGAGTGAAAACTCCAGGAATGTTTAATAGCTAATATTTCAAAAAGATAAAAGCAAGAAAACTATCTGCTGCTGCATTTACAAACAATTTTTAGTGATTATCATCTTATACTACAAAATGGATTATTAGTCTTCAGTTTAAGGATTGCAAAATGCCAACAAATCAAATCAGTTCCCCTCAAATTTATCAAATTTCATTATCCAGCATAAACATAGCAAAATCAAAATTGCCAATGACAGACCGAATTAAATAAATAAAAAAATACTAGTTTTAACATTGTCCATTATAAATTTTGCAACACATTTTCACTAAAATTAGTACTAACAATCAAATGTCACTCTCAGCATTCAACACCAATATGTTAGGAAATGGACCAACCTTCCGATTATCAATTGGAAGTAAATGAAATCACCAATGCCAGTGCACGGTCAACAAACATAAACTACACACTACAATTAAATGATAGCGAATTAGGAAAGTTGAATTAAAACTTTGATAAAATTTCCCAACATCAATTAATTCTCTTTGTTATTCACCACCGAACTTCATAATTTCACAGAATTACAGCTAAAATGGACCCAAACACAAATTTTAAGGCAAATTCGAAGTGATTAATCCTACATCTTTCACTGCGGGGGCGATTGGAGCTGAGGAACTGAGAAGGATGCTGCTCCTTCGGCTTCTTCTCGATGACGGCCGTGGAGAACGCCGAGGACTCTGGTGTTTGGGGAGTCGACGATGGGTGAGGAGAATTCTTTAAGGTTTTGGGAAACGATAGGGGTTTAGGGTTTGGATTTGTGTCTCACGATGCTTGAACTCGCGCTGAAGCCATGGCGGCCGTCGATAATGCTGATGTTAAGGCCATCGTTCCGCTTTCACTCTTCCGTTTGATGTTTTCCCCTGGGAATTTTGGGTTCTAGGTTTTGCGCAGTTGTGGGGAAATGAGGAGAGGGAGCTAGGGGAAGGGGAAATGAGGAGAGAGGGGAAAATGAGAGAGGGATTTTCACCTAAATCCCTCTCTCGGGCGCGGGCTGCCCAAATTTTTTAGGCACGCCCGCGCCCAAATTTTTTTCTAAATTTTGGTTTTAGCGACGGAAATTAGTGACGAAAATTTTTTGATAAAAAAATTCTGTTAAGAAATTAATGGCAATGAAAATTTTCCGGCGCCAATAGTAAAATTTTTGTCGGCAAAACTTCTTTGCCGACGGGAAAATAGCGACGAAAAATTCCGTCGCTATAACATGACTTATAGCGACCGAATTTTCCGTCGCTAAAGTACCATCGGTAATAGTTCATTTTCTAGCAGTGTTCTATACATGCTCTATTTTTGGCTCAATCTTAGTTTTTACTTGTATATAGGATGAGACAACAATTCCTAAACCTAACACTAATACCAATAAAACCTTGTCACGCCCCAATTCCAAAATATAATAGTTTGGAACGTGACTCGGCCGACAATACAACCATACGGTCGCATTCACGCCTCTAGATCATCATGTATACATATATAAAGCCAAAACTATACCAAAGAGCATGTACCCAAGATAATAAAAGAAAACAGATAGATAAAGAAATATCTGAAATTTCAGAGGTCTATGAAAAGTACACAACTATCCAAAATGGAAAAAAAAGAAAACATTCATAGTCTGAAGATCCACACGAGATTTTAGGAAAGTCTCAATCAAATAACTACCTAAAACAAGTGAAATGGAGAACTGAAAGGAATGAACGGTGATCACTGTTGATGAGCCTGCCCCTCGAAATACTCTCGATCTTACGAAGAAAGAACAGTCCCCGAGTCTGGGGCATGCAAACCCTAGAGGAGTCAGAAAACTCCCAACAAGAATGTAAAATGAAGGAAATGTGCGTGTGTAAGTGTAATGTGGCATGGATAAAGAAAAAAAATAAGAACTCAATTAAAGATGAAAAAAATGCTAATAATAGATATCAAACAAGGTCAAATCATAAAACACACAAGCACATTATTATTATTTTAAACATTATTTGAATTAGAGAATAACATTTTTATGTATATAAATCGGTTTCCCGTAAACCATCCCGGGAATACGGCTTCAAGTCAGGATGAGCCCTTAGTTCTTTATATATATATATATATATATATATATACCAGGATATCAAGAATGCGCACAAGCCTGCTTATATACATTTTATATTCCCCATCGAATTCCCCTTTATTAACCCCATGTTTGTCTATTTAATCTAAGTAACTGTGCATGAAATGTTGTGCACTAACCACATAGTTACTATGGAACGGCTTCCGTAAAACTATGAAAAATAACCATGACCCAGAACATGTCCAATCAAATGGGTGTATCGTCTAGTCGATGCTATAATATTAATAATAGCCAAGGAAAAATCTAATATCGGGATATTGATATCGAGCGCATAGTCATGCTATGAAAACACGCTTATAAATCATATTTTTTGAGGGAAGTCATCTTCATGCACAGTCTCTCCTATTGAAGACAACTAGGTGATCAAGCAATAATTTTTTTTCATAAAGTCACCCATGTCAGATATGGTATGGTATAAAGAAAGATTGAAATCTAAAACAATTAAACATAGGGGAAATTATAATAGATAATTATTTCGATGCTAAAAAAATTTATGGACTAACTAAAAACAAAATAGTTAAATATCTACCTCAGACTTATGTAAGGTAGGATTTTATATAAAAGCATTTACTTGTTAAATAATGGAAATAATTAAAGTTGTTAAAGCATCTTGTATTACATATTGTTATATAAACTGTTTATATAATATACTAAAAACTCTGTTCATATCACAAAACATCTTGTATTACATATTGTTATATAAACTGTTTATATAATATACTAAAAACTCTGTTCATATCACAAAGATATTATTGAAAATTTTTGTTACAAAAACTGTTTATATAATATACTAAAAACTCTGTTCATATCACAAAGATATTATTGAAAATTTTTGTTACAAAAATTATTTTACATGTATATAGAGGTATATATATACACCGAAATATAATAATCCTATAATGAGGAATAAAAACTATAGGAATGCATTATTGTATATGATTATATAGTGAAGGCAAAAAAAAGAAAAACCGTGGAAACAACATGTTATAGAGTTTTACTTATTTACAGTCCACGCCATTAACAAACCAATCATGTAAACAAGTGATTATACCATTAACTTATTTACAGCTCATGCCATCAACTAATTTACAGCTCATGCTATTAACTTATTTACAGCTCATGCCATTAACTAATTTACATCTCATGTCATTAACTTATTTATAGCTCATGCCATCAACTTATTTACAACTCATGCCATTAACTTATTTATAACTCATGCCATCAACTTATTTACAGCTCATGCCATTAACTTATTTACTACGAATGCCATCCATCTATTTTCAACGAAAACTTACCTCTACATGATTTATGAAATATATAATGAATGGCTAAGTTTATAAATCAAGGAAAAACCCAACTAAAGTTTCAACTAAGAAAATCTTAAGATGCAGAAAAAAAAATGTTGACCTGAAGATAAAAATTTAGAGAGAAAAAAAAAGAAAGAAAATTTGAGAAAAGATGCTTGCCAATTAGTTGGAAGAAGACTATGAACCCCAAATCCAAATGAGAATCCAAGACTCGTCTCCTTCCCTCTTCTTCTTTCTCTTTCTCCCTTCTCTTCTCTTATTCCCGTGAGCTCTCTCTCTTGATGTTGTTACTGTGAGAAAATTTTTGGAAGGGAGTTTAAAGAGAGAGAAAAAGTAATTAGGGAACAAAGTGAGTGATTTAGGGAGGGATTTAGGGAGAGAATTAGGGAGTGAGATTTTAGTGGAGAGATTTTGGGAGATATTTGGTTAAGTGGGGTGATTGTAGGCGTATAAAACTGCGTATAGGTCCCTTAACACAGCTCAACAACGTCGATTCGACGAACCGACCATCGGGTGACGTATGCAGACACAATTGTTAGTCCACAACGCCGAAGCCAAGCGATACGCGACGAAGCAGATTAACGAGGCTACGAAGCTAATGAACCACACGCAAACAACGGAATAAATCCACTCGCGTGCGGAATCAAGGTAACGGGTTGAAGAGTCAACGAGTCATCCAACCAAGGGCGGACTCAGACGAATCACGATCGAATCAAGATCAGTTTCGGACTCGAACTCAGAAGTGGATTTACTGCCAAATCAGGAATCGGATTTACTGCCAAATCAGGTCAACGAATCAGAGTCTAAATCAACCACACAACCGAATCACGGCGGAACCGAAAAATGGATACAATGACAAAACGACGAAACCCAACACCAAGGGGGGGCTCGGCCGAAACCGAGCCACCCTGAGGTGGCTCGGTGTGCCGGCCCAGATCTGTGCACGGGCACAGTGAAGATGGCCTATAAATAGGAGAGGTGGTTCATTTGTTCAAGGGTTGGATTTTTTGGAGGTGAAGCCATGCCGGATTGAAGACTCAGATCTAAAAAAGATTCAAACTTTAGGACTTCGATGACTTGTTCATCCAGATCTAGTGCTCGGCGATCGTCAACGCCAAATAAGGCAAGAGTTCGAGAGGACCGGATCTCAGATCTACGCAGGCGTACTCCGGATCAAAGCTTGGTCTTTGATCCCGAGAATTAAAGGCTACTATTTCATTGGCGAAATAGTACCCTCGGCTATTATTTCCTTGGTGAAATAATACCCGTCGTACTGCGTAGATCCGACCGGATCTAGATCTCGCGGTGGTCCATGGATAAACCCCGGCGCAGGCAAAGAACCCACAAAAGCGAGCGACCGCAAAACAGGAGCTCGTGATTCGTTCGACACAAAAGGAGAAAGTTGTAATCTTTGTTTATTTTTCTTTGATTTTCATTGTAACCGGATCTTATAAAAAGACCGGATCTTTTGTAACTCAAAAAGCTGTTATTTAAGATGACAATGGAATCAATTACAAAGAAAGACATGATTTCTCCCGCGAACAATCTGGCGACCACAGTGGGAGCCGCCGATCTCGCTGCCGAGATCGGAGCGTCGTAGCCGCGGATCTCAATTCCGGTCGTGGAGGAGGTCGAATACGAGTTCGACCAACAGAGATTCGAGGAATACTTGTCGTCCTCGTCCGGATCAACCTCCCCCCGCAAGTCCAAGAAGTCCAAGTTCTCCTCCAGGAGAAAAACTCGTTGGTATGAAGACGTTGAAAACACCAACGAATATCTCGTCCCGTTTGATGCCAAAGTCGCATCGGGTGAGATTCCTCCAATTCCCAACCAGGTCGGAGCTGCTCTGGCCAACCCTTCTGCCGCAGGGGGCTTGGTGACTCTCTCGAAGAGAGCACGCCAAAGGCAACGTCAACGCCTTGCGAAACAATTCGCAAAGGCCATGGAGTCTGTTGACGGGATCCGCTACAACGTGGATTTGAAGAACAGAGGAGGCAAACAGCCTCAACAACTGAAGTATGGCAGCTCCTCCAGGCCACCAACGAACGAATGGATCTGGGTCAAACGGAACCGTTCGACACTTGAAGAGCGGATTCACAAACGTCGCACGTTACTCGCACAAGCAAAAATTCTTGTGCAGGAGGCCAAAAAGTTGGAGGTAGAAAGAGTGGCCAAAAAGCCATTACCAACCCGCCAAGTATGGAGGCCGAAGCAGCCTCCAACAAATGTTCAACCACCGGTGAATCAACCCAAGTCGCCGGTAATTCCAATAGCTTTTTCGGGAGATCGTGCAGAATCGTCCCAAAGGAAGAAATCAGTTTTGGAGCACCTCGGTCCAATTACCGACGAGTGAGGCAAAGCTCCAGTTCAAGAGAGTTTGGGCCCAATGAAGAAGCCCAGAACCACTCAACACGCTGGGGGTCGCCGTCACCTCCAACGTGATAAAGAAATCAGGGCAGCTATACGCACCAATTTGCGTATTGAAGTCCAAGAGCCCGCTGAGAACTCACGCCCAAAAAGGCATGTTTCGAGGCGCGTAACTTTTGAAAGCCCGAAGAAGGTAGTTCGCTCTCAGAAGGAAACGTTATCGTCTGATGATGATTACGTTATACCTGAGAAATCGTG